AAAGAATTCCCAACTTACTTACCGAGTTTCAGCCGACAAAAAAATGAATTCCGGGTATGGAAAGGGGATATTAAAGGAGAATAAACTGCTATTAAATATCACAAGTAAACTTCCTTCAACGGTTACACACTCTGGTACTCTTACTTGGATCAGAATACAGCCAGCCTTGCATACACTCTCTTTCTCTCTATCATCCCTCTTCCCTCTTCCCTCTCTCTCTCTCTCTCTCTCTGTCTCTATCCCTCCCTCTCTCTCTCTCTATCCCTCCTCCCACTGGCCGGGTAGTGGAGAGCGCATGTGGGAGGGCCAGAGCCTGGATCTGGGTGTGGTTTTGGAGTTGAACGTGTTCACATGCATGGGTGGGTTTTACTAGTGCTGGAGGGACCTACATTTGACACATGGGACATTGTGAGGACATGTCCCCCCCCCACATGGGCACAGAAACAGGTCCACATTTGTGGAAAAAGACATGTGTGACAGGAGAGAGACAGATGTTATTTATACCCAGAGCCGGCTGGGCCTCCGGGATGTTAATATAAACTGGTTATTGGTGAGAAGAATTTAGGGTTTGGCGGGAAAAGCGTCTGTCAGGCCGTCATTAAAGGAGTCAGAGAGGAAGTTTTAGAGTTTGGCGTTTCCTGACAATGGAGTGAAACAGCGAGAGGATAACAAGCTAGTGAGGTCTGGCAGAGGGGAGACGAAAGGAAATTAAAGGGATGAAAGGGGATGAAAAGTAAAGAGGAAGAGGGAATGAAGGATGGAAGGAATATTGACAAGAGGTTAGGAGCTGAATAAGAAGAGAAATGGCAAAGTGGTCATTTTGTGCAGGTTGTATATATAGATCTGTGTTTTTCCTGATAGTCCATCCTTTTCTAAAATATTTCCAGATCAAGCTGCTGCAGGCACTCACTCTACTGTATTTGTATAACTTCTATGTGTCTTTTTTATGATTACTGGTATTCTTAATAATCTTTTTTTCTAATGTACTGTTTAAATTGTGTGCAATGTTTGGTTTTTACAAATATGCTGGGTATGCCCTGTCTTGCCTGGCTGGAACCAGTCAGTTAATTAAAGGTTATTCTTTTCATTTTCTACCAGTGGAACATACCAAATCAATCTCTGAACACCACTTAGTTTACTTCTTTGGGCAAAATATCAACACAGGACGAAGATATATTTTTCAACCAATCCTGCTTAGGCACCATCAGCGTGTGGGGTCATTAGTTTCCATAGCAACAGCCATGATTGCTTGTTTAGTAATATGGAGTTTCCAGTAGAAGCTGGTTTGCATAGCTTTACACAAAGGCTGGGGACAGGAATTACTCCACAGGATTTTACCAAAGCTAACAATGTTAACTGGAAGCCTGCTTGTGTGAGTCGAATATGAGTTCAGCCCTGATCTCTTAAAAGTACTTTTGTTGACTCAGCATATGTTTTGTGATAAGACAATGATGTGAATATATGCAAGAGTTTTCACATTTTCCAACTTTGAGCAATGAAAATGCCCTCTTCTCTCTCTTGTGACCACTAGATCGAATAAAAGGGGACAGGTGTCAGCATTGATTCCCTGTTCCATTTTCATGCTTCGGCCAAAGAGCGGGTCATTAACAAAATTTTGAAAGACTTTCTTTTACTGGGATTTCTAATTGTGCTGATGGAATGAAATGAGGGTTTAATGGGGACAATTTTATTATTATCTGTGCTCCATCAGTGGCAACATAGCAAGCATTTTCTTCCTTGAACACACCTTCTGAAAAACCCTCAGTAAATTACCTCCAAGGGTATAAAAAGTCTGCACTTATACATTGGCAAATAATAGATTATTGTTAAACCTGAACTAACCTCGAAACTCAACAACTATCTAACGTGCAAAAAATAATATTTCCAGCCAACTAAAGTCAATACAGTTTAGATCAGGATTTCAAAAATGTCAATTTTCTTGTTAGTTTTTTTCACTTGTGCCTGACGGCTCAGCGTTGTACTGAGACGAGAGTGAATTCTGTTCTGTGGTCATAAGGAGGCTGTTAGTTAGGTTGGGCACGAGGTAGTGAAGAGGGCATTGTCATAGATTGGTGCGCTGCTCATAATTCCTCTAATTTTCCTTTCAGTCACATGCCGTGAGGATGAGAGTGAATGATCTACTGTGATGAAAACAGGTAGAAAAAAATGTAACAACTTTGCATTTCAATAGCCGTTTGAGCAGTTAATAAACAGCAACGTCTGGCTTGTTATAAATGCAGGAGGAAATGCAGCATATGCAAACTGAATAAAGCATCAGAACTGACATTGAAAGAGTTTAGGACTGTTTGTTATCACATCTAAATTCAAGTGTAGAATGGAAAATGCATCTCTGGGGCTGGGACAGTGATTGACCTTTCTGTGTATATATGTTTACCCTGCACACGGAGCTGCCAGGACATTATACTCCAGGGTAGGTTGCCGACCGTGGACAAAAAAATCTCATTAGACTTCACAATACACATAGAATTGTATTGTTTACACACGAATACCCATTCACAGGAAATATCACTGACGTACTTCTTCGCATGTTGGCTGGAAAGGCATGAACAGGATCTAAACATTTAGCTGCTGATGTCACATATAACACTTTATACAATGAATTCATTCACTCATCGTTTTTTTCAGCAGGCATCTACAAGTTTTCAATCATTAAAATGGGCCCTATCATGCTTTTTATATCTCCTGTTTTTTACATTTATCCTCCTATTTACACCTGGCAAAGAACACATTCATGAGTTACATGGTATGCAGCGTCAATTCAAGAAAAATCTTACTGGCCCATATTCCGAAATCCTTTGGATGTTGAAGGTGGTTGGTGAGGCTGATGTGTTAATTTGCTATTGGTCTTTTTGGTATTCTGAAATTGCTCCACTAGAGGATGTTTTCTGCAGATTGTTAAACCTCTGCTCACTTTTACTGCTAAAAGACTCTACCAACCATATTAGTTGTTATCATATGTTCCTTTGGTTAGATTTCACACCATATTTCATGTCTATCACATCCATTCCTGCTCTGTTTTAGATGTTTTGCCACCCTGAGCAAAAAGTTAAGCTACATTTTTCATGGAAAAGTCAGATGTATCCCTTCAACAACCTACTTTCTCATTCAAACGCATCCACATGTGCCGGGTGTCAGATGAACCAAAACCGAAATATCACCCCCCTAGGGCCCTACAGCAAATGACTCCCACTACCACTCCTGCCTCACACACACCCACATACTGTCCGAGATGTGGGAACTGGTTTCACTCCTCTGCCCGGTGTTGGGTGTCCATAACGTAGGTAAACACAAGGGAACCATTTGACATTCACTGGTGCAAATACAAACACATGACATACTATACACCCCTGGAGACACATTTCTATTGTTGTAGACCTTTGGGAGGAAACAATAAAATGAACACATCTCCACCCTAAACCCTGTAAAAAAAAAAAATCTTAGCATCTCACCTTACGCACAAATAGATAAGGTCCCCTTCTTCCTGTTCTTTGTGGAGTGTTATCTTTCACTTGTTTTTTGAGTCCTTACAGACCTGAAACATGTTCCAAAAAGGAGTAGAATCAGGAGGAGTTTTGAACTGCCAATGCATTTCAAAAACACAATGTCAATAGTTTTTGTTTTTGCATTTTATAGTGGAAAAGAAACGTCCACTGGATAGTGAGTGTTTGTGGACCGAAACTAGGCACAGAACTTCCAGTTTGGCACTGGAAATATTGCGGTATTGTTTAAAAGTCATGTCCTTCAAAAGACAGAAGACATTTGCTGATATCTCCCACTGCAGTGTATCACTTCAGGAAACCGTACAAAAATCCAAAGGAATCTCAGAGTATAAAAGACAATAAATCTGAGCTGCACAACCCCTGATCTTCGATCTGATCACAACTGAGAAAGAAGAGTACAAAAGATGATTATTGTCTGTAAGAGTATGAGCTCCTGTCAACAGTAAGAGGACGTATAAAGACATGTTTGCAGGGACAATTGGACAAAACATCAACTGAAGGGCTTCATTTGTTGGCTTCTTCAAAGCCAGAACTGTGTTAAAAGTGTCATGAGAGATAATGCTAAAAAAAAAAATGTATTTACATTTATTAAATAATAATGCAATACCATTAGTAATCCTTTGTTTATCCAACAACTTGAGGATACATACCTGTGCATTTAGACTTGTATCATTAGGACCCTGCAACACACTGGCTTTGTTAACTGTGACTGAAATCGGTGTTTCGAAGGAAGGTCTTTAACTCTATAATGCCAAATGTATCACATTTGATACATACGGTTTCTGAAGTCTTTTGGATCTGAGACTTTTGCATCATTCAATGGTGAAAGCTTTGCTCAAACCCCTGTTGTACACGTTCAGATATACCTGATAACAGCCAGAAGAAGACTACACCAAAATATATTTTTGACTTATTGCACGCAAATTTGATCGAAATAATTTCAGTTTTTTTTTCTTCATACGTTGTTGCAGAGCCAAAGAAAGACTTCAAACTAAAAAAAGCCTATATTCTTCCTATTTTTCTTGGTTCGGGCTTAAAGGGTTAATGACATGGGGGGCTGGTAAATGTTGAAAAGCAATTATTTGATTGAAAAACATGGAAAATATGTTTCCCATAGAATACATTATCAGTGAATCTAAAGAGTCCAGAGAAGAACTAGGTCAATATGTCAAAAAAGCCTTTTAAGCTTGAATATCATTCACATCTTCACATGTCAGTCATAATCATGCACAGAATATGTGCTCCAGAGTTTATTCAAAAGCCATTTTCAAAGTTTGTACCTGTCGCTTGACTTTCCAGGGGCTGTATGTCATATATAATCTTTGATCCAAATGCCCTCGTGGGTGAGTATTTAAAGTACAATATCCCCACAGTCTCCATCACATTCTCTGGCACATTTGCCATCTGGACACATGCCAGACACAAAAACATAAACACACACACACACACGCATACAACGATCTTCAGCCAGACAGGAAGCACCCCCACCCCCCCATCCCACTTCCTGTTTCTCACAGTGTGTACAAGTGTGTGCGTCCATGCTCTCTCAGAGAGATCTCGCTACTGTTAGCAATCAGCAGTAAGCAGACTGAGCAGCACAGGAAAAAACTACACAAAGACATTAGATATGAGATAGTAGAGGACAGAAGAAATATTATTAGAGAGGAACAAATATGCAGAAGATTATACAGGGGGAAAGAAAGCAT